TTATTAGAGAAATAAATGAAATAGAATATAAATGAAGTATATTATAGAATTTATTAATTACTATTATTTTTAGAAAAAATATAAAAATAAATAAATAAATAATACAATTACTAACTGATTAACAATAGATTAATAAATTAATAACCATTATTCCAACTATCAAATGTATTTAAAGTCCCTTCATTGTTATGGATATGATTAATATTAAAGTCGATATTACTATTGTTGTTGATATTATCATTAAAGCCACTTTCGGAGAAAATTACATTCTGATCAGTAAATGTGTGTGGATTTGTAGATAGAAAATCTATCGTATCAGTATGATTTATTGTTGTTGCAGAATTAGATGATGTTGAAGCAGTAAATGAATTATTTATCGTTGAATTATTGATTATGATTGGTTGGAAATGTAAATTAGTGGTGATGTTATTAGAGAATGATGATGATGGTGGTGGTGGTGGTGGTGGTGGTTGCGTTGGTTGTGTTGGTTGTGTTGGTAAATTATTTTGATAATTTTTATTGAAATCGTTTATTGAAAATGTAAAATTAAAGTTGTTCATATTATCAGGTAGATATGTAGACATATTATTTTTCCTTCTATTAAATTTTCTTCCTCTATTATTATTATTAGTTGTTGCATGCGAATCATATTCATCAGATTTCAACTGTTCTATATTTTTAGATTCTTCTTCTTTTGCTTTAACCAACAAATTTTTCAATGTCGCCTCACCATCCAATCTTCCTTCACCACCTGAAAACCTTCTCCTGGCAATTTCCCTAACTTGGACTTTGATTTCTTTTAATCGTTGCACCATACCTGCAGCCTTCTCGTTGCTTTTTTGAGCTTCTGTCCATGATAAAACTCTGATAGCTGGTGTTATTGAAAATAATGCTGAACATGACTGTTCAAAGAAATCTGGTACAGAATTCATCAATACATCAAGCCAATGTAAAAGTATTGTTGCTGCATGAAAACATATTGTTTGTGATGATATTCTAGATTCTTCGTCAATATTGTTAATTGGCATATTTTTAGGGGCATTTGATGTGAACATTGTCAAATTACGACTATGAAGCAGAATAAGTACTGTCCAGAATAAAGTATGCATTTCTCCTAAAAAAATTTTTATAAATAAAAATATAAATTTTAGAAATATAATATATCTCTAACAAATGTCAAAATAATTCACATTTTGAATTACCTCCAATTGAACCTAAAAAACTTCCTTCAACATCATGAGCCATTTCTTCAAATTTCAACCAATTAGGAAGAGTATAAAACCATCTTCCTAACGCAGCATCCAAAAATTTAAATTGATTTTCTTCACGGCGACTACCTGCTATTTTAGTTCGTCCATATAAATACTTGCGAATCTAATTAGCCCAAATAGAAAAATCAACTAATTGATTAAACTTTTCATTTTATTGAAGTTTATCGAATACAATTTTTTTTTTTAATGAAAAATTATAATAATTAATTAATACCTGAGCAAAAATTCTTAATAAATTTATATGCAAGATCCAAGCTATATGTGATCTTGTTTCTTCATCAGGCTCAGGATCTGATGGTATTGGAAGTAAATCTACATCACAAGTTGCTTCATCTATAGCACTTGGACGACCATAGGTTGCAGAAAGCCACCTAAACATTGAATATTAAAATACAAAGAAATATTAATTCATTATGAAACTGTAAATTATTTAGTTTAGTTAACGGATTCACACTCAAAATAAAATAATAGAAAACATACACTTCGCCAATAAAGCAACCCCAAAATGCCATGTCTCTCAATTCTTTAACTTCAGTATTTTGAACCTGATCATTTTTAATTTTACGATGCAAGCCTAGTTCAAATGACATTTTAGTTGCCATACCATAGAAAATCCAAGCAGATCCCATCTTTTCTTGTAATAAATTAAAAACTGAGTGTCATAATGAAAGTAGCAGTAATATTGGTGGTGGTGGTGGTGGTGGTAATAATAATAATAATAATAATAATAGTAATAGTAATAGCTAAATTGAATTTAAGTAATGATAGCTTATTAAATTATGAATTATAATTTTAATTACAATGATAAGCATATCAGCCGATTCGGTTTTTGGGGCCTTTTTTCAAACCTTATGTCTTATTGTGTCTCGATGTTAAACACGAGTATTTTTAATGTGTAAACTGGTCGGTAGAATGATAATTACCCTAAAAAAAATTATTTGCTCCGCTAAAAAAACTAATTTACTATCCATCAACCCGTCAAACCAATGGCCCCACCTCAAAACCAATGGGTTTTTGCTAGTATAAAGTATTCATAACGTTATGATCATACCGTACTGGATTTTGGGGTTCAAACAAAATCAGCGCATATGGTAGTTGATATGGTTAAAGTTGGAGAATCATATGAATTGTTTATGGGTGGGAAATTAGATTTTGTGTGGTCGTATTGTTCTTTTTCCAAAATACTCTTGATGGAAATAAATTTATTTTTCATTGGTAGAATTGAGCGGAATTGCAAAAATAATATTTTAATGATTTTATATAATAACATCGTGCAACCGAATAGCTGTTTAGGTTATTTATACAATAAAATAAAATTTCTAAATTTAGTAGCTTTTCAGGTTCCTGCGATCGGAATTTATCCGGAAATTCATGTATTATTCTTTTGTGCAACAATTTTTTAACATTAGCCTTTTTAAATTAGCAGTTAGATATTACACAATTTTTATTAACAAAGCATGCATGTTCAAATTCCATCACCACCTTTGCCACCTGTTGACTTACACAACGACACCTTTAACTTATTTCCGACTCATAACATGTTGCCAAGACGTTTCAAACCAATAGAAACCTGTGACAATTGTAAGCAACGTAAAGTAAAATGTGACAAAGAAAGACCAGCTTGTGGGACTTGTAGTAAAACTCAACGAGATTGTACTTATACCTTTTCAGCATCATCAAAGCGGCCTTGCCCAAAAAATAGGCTTGAAATTTTACAAGATCAAATTGATGATATTCAGTCTATACAATACCAACAATTAAATCAAATGAATGATTTATTAGAAATGGCTGTAATGAAACCTGATAATGCTAATAATGACAATAATAATGATAATATATTGATTTCTGGTGGGAATGATCTAGCAGATGTTTTGCCACATATTGAAAATGATTATTTAAATGGAAATGGAAATGGAAATGCAAATGGAAATTTTGTAAGTCCAATTATTTTAAGAAATGTAAATCATAAACAATTGTTTAATTAGTTCATATAATCATTTATTGTATATAGAATTGGAATGGGTTTTATCCTCATATGGAGCCAAGTTTAAATCAAAGTCTTTCTGAAGAGGCATTACAATTCACTTCTCAATTAGTTGCCTCCATTCAAGGAGATAGTCAGGTTTGGAAAATTTTGTTATTAAATCTTGTGTCCTATATATATTTTCATGTGTTGT